TGGGGGGTGCCAGTACAGAGACAACTAGAATGTTGGGGAGAAGGCTAAAACATTCTAGTTTTCTATGTGGAAGGAATCTGGATGGATAAAGGGGTAAGGTAAAAAGGTAAAGGACCCCTGGACAGTTAAGTCCAGTCAAAGATGACTATGGGGTTGTGGCGCTCATCTCACTTTCAGGCTGAGGGAGCTGGTGTTTGTTCGCAGACAGCTTTCTGGGTCATGGGGCCAGCAGGACTAAACCGCTTCTGGTGCAACAGGACACCGTGACAAGTGCCAGAGCACATGGAAATGCCGTTTACCTTCCCGCCGCTATTTATCTACTTGCACTGGCATGCTTTTGTACTGCTGGGTTGGCAGGAGCTGGGACAGAGCAATGGGAGCTCACCCCGTCGCAGGGATTCGAACCGCTGACCTTCTGATCAGCAAGCCCAAGAGGCTCAGTGGTTTAGACCACAGCACCACCCGCATCCCTACCATAAATAATAATTTATATATAGTATTCAATATATGACCCCCTGCAATCTGAATTGCTGCACTCCACGCCGAAGTACATGTTGAAAACCAAGCCATAGTGATTATTGGGCCCATGGATCTTCAAAATACTGTGAGGCAGAGTTTTTAAATTATTATTATTATTATTATTATTATTATTATTATTATTATTATGATGCAACATGATCAAGGGTCTGGAAACCAAGCCTTATGCAGAATGGTCAAAGGAGTTGGGTATGTTTAGCCTGGGTTTCAGAGTTTTTAGGGGTTTTTATAGTATAGTATAGTGTATTTTAAAATGGGGTTTCAGAGTTTTTAGGGTTTTTTGAATGTTTTATGTAGTTTTTCAATTTCATTGTTCTGTATGGGACAATGACAATAAAGATATTGTATATCGAAAAGAGGAGATATGATAGCCATCTTCAAATATCAAAAGGGCTATCACACAGAAGATGTTTTCTCCTGCTCTGGAGGGCGGGACCCAAACCAATGGATTTGAGTTACAAGAAAGGAGATTCTGACTAAACAGCAGGAAGAACTTGGAGGTTTTTAAGCAGAGGTTGGATGCTTCAGTTAAGATTCCTGTATTGCAGGGGGCAGGACTAGATGACCCTGGGGGTCCCTTCCAACTCTACACTTTCATGATTCTTAGAGGATTATTTGTAACTGGTAAACTGATTTGCAGGATTATTTAAAAAAAACAAAACCCTGAGGTGCATTGGTGTGACTAGCTGCACTTTGCTTGCTCTGAGTTGCAGGCTGTGAGGCCAGTTCAGTTGGTGAGCTGCCGGTGGTTTGCGCAAGCCTGCCTCTGAGAAGGGGCCCTAAGATAAGTGGCCCTGAGCTTGCAGGCACCATTGAGAACAGGAGGGTTATTGGTGAACTTCTACTGCATTTCAGTGAATTGGAGCTGGGCACTTGCACCCCCACTCCACCCCTGGGTGATGGTGATCCATGTGAATTCGTGATTGCCATTTGGATTTCCCATCTCAAGCAGCGAAAGGCCTGGCCCCACCTGCAGCCTCTCGTGCCATAGCCCAAATTGCTTGCAGTTTAGAGCTGTGTATTCATTTTCAGTGACTCTCCAAAACCATACTGTATTCTGCAGAGTATCCAGTGATGTCAAATGCTGTGCAAAAATAAACTATAGCTCTTTTAAATTGTTATTTTTAAGCTGAGCTCATTCATTAAGCATGCCGAGGGACGCCTCAGCATGGCAAAGCCACCTTCTCTTTGCCAACAGGCCCTGCAGAATGCTAGTCTTGCTTCAGTTATCTCTGTTGGTGAAGCTCCTGTCCTATGTGCACATCCCTTTGGGGATGCAGGGCAAACTGTATGAAGGACCTGGATAAATTTTCCAGTTCTTCCAGTAGTGTGAACTACAAAGGCAGAAGACTCTCACTGGCTCTCTTAGCATGCTCTTCCTTAGTGATGCACTAAAAAAAGCTGGTTCAGCTTGTCATTCAGGTCTGCATTTGTCTGGGAGATTACGTTTTTCCTGATGCTTCTTGGTGCTGCAGCACGAAAGCAGGTAGCGCTGAGTGGGCTTTGATCCTACTGTCTCCCTTGGGGATGGAGGGGAATATCTGTCTGGCTGCATTGACAAATCTGGGGGATCAAACAGGCAGCTTCAAATGGTTTCTCTTCTTGCCTACCTTATTTGATAGCAAAGGAACCCAAAGTCTTTGATTCTAGCAAAACTATGTTAGTTCTAATAAAGATTGCAATACCTAACCTGGTTCCACTGTGTCTGCGCACTTCATCAGATCAGCTCACCAGTGGGGGTGGGGGCTCCCCTGTGGACGAGACAAAGACTGCCAGTCCCCCCCCCCAATCCCACATGCATTTCAAAAACCATATTTTCTGTGTTGGTTGGCATCCTTGCAGAATCCATGTGTTAGCTGGCTTATTCTGTTATCCTGCTATTGAATTATTTCCAAAGTAGAACTTGGTATATGCAAACCTCCATTCATTTAAATGTTAATATGGTATGGGGGTGGGTTGCTGATCCTATTTATATTGTTCCCCTCTTTAACCTTCCTACCTTGAACTGAATTTTAGTTTTGAAGGCTTCATGGGACAGGAGCCTATATTTTTCTTATGCTATAAAAGCTACATAAATGTAATTTCTGTGTGTGTGTGTGTGTGTGTGCGCGCACGCGCGCAATATTATTATATTAGAAGTTAATAGGGAGCTGTCTTATATTACAGCAGACTACTGGCCCTTCTAAGGGACGCGGGTGGTGCTGTGGGTAAAAGCCTCAGCGCCTAGGGCTTGCCGATCGAAAGGTCGGCGGTTCGAATCCCCGCGGCGGGGTGCGCTCCCGTTGTTCGGTCCCAGCGCCTGCCAACCTAGCAGTTCGAAAGCACCTTCGGGTGCAAGTAGATAAATAGGGACCGCTTACTAGCAGGAAGGTAAACAGCGTTTCCGTGTGCGGCTCTGGCTCGCCAGATGCAGCTTGTCACGCTGGCCACGTGACCCGGAAGTGTCTTCGGACAGCGCTGGCCCCCGGCCTCTTGAGTGAGATGGGCGCACAACCCTAGAGTCTGTCAAGACTGGCCCGTACGGGCAGGGGTACCTTTACCTTTACTGGCCCTTCTAACACAATATTGTTTATGCCACCAATTCCTAAACTCTTTCCCCCACAAACCACTTGAAAATTTTTGAGGATTCTGACAAGCCTCTTTGTTATTTTTCTTCCTGCTGCAGCAAATGTATTGCACTGTGCTAGATGCTGCATGCTTTTTAAATGTATTTTACAGGCACACCACAGACCACCTGAATGAAACTCATGGACCACCAATGGTCTGTGGACCAGCCTGAGAACCTCTACACTTACTGGTAGTAGCTCTCCAGAGGTTCAGATGGAAGTCTTTCCCAGCCATACCTGAAGATGTCCCAGGTCGAACCTGGGGCATTCTGCATGCACTACCACTAAGCTGTGACCAAGGGAAGCCTGCTATCTGAGGGAGACAAACCCCCTAACTGACAATTCTCCTGACTATTTTGCATTGGCCCAAAGACATAAAACAGGACTGCCCTTCCTACCATATCATACATCTGATCAGTGGTGGAGGAAGCCTCATGTTCTTCCCACCCGCCCCACCGAGAGTAAGGGCAAACACACCCTTGAAAAGCCCCTGGAGAAGAAAGCTGTGCAGGGGCAGAGGAGGATTTAGGCTGGGGAGAAGAGTTGAAGCAATGCATTCCTGCTCTTTGCTGCTCAGCTCTTGCTGATACCCCCAGGAAGCAGCTTTTCTTCTCTCTCTCTGTTTTAAAGACTACTTGGGCTAGTGTTACCTATATTTGTGTGCATGCAGACAGGACAGTGAAGCCTATGAGTTGGTGCCGGGAAGCTCAAATCTCACTTCAGCTGCAAGCTAACTAGGTCCTGTGAGGTGAACAATGATTCTCTCAGACTTGAGTTTCCATCTTTGTTACTGGCCTATGTTACAAGTATGTTGGAGAGGATGACTGTGACAAATGTATGTGAAGAACTTTGGACACCTAAAAGTTGCTGTATAAATGCTAACTTATGAATTTATCTGCCTACTCCTTTAAGTCTGCAATAAAGGTGTTATACATCTCAGCATTGTCTGAAAATTATTTATTGGCCTTTAGTTCTGCATCTATCATATGGGTGTTGCTGTGGAAATGGAAGGGGCACAACACACTAAACATACTCAGAACAAGGCCACTACCCTGCCTTGTGTGAAAGGGACTAATGTGGCTCACATCCACGTCTGCCCCATTTTTACAGACTGCCTCCTCTCCTCCATACTTAACTGTGTTCAGTACTGTATCCAAATGGTGGCCAAGCGCCACAGTCGCCTTTGACTGGACTTCGCCGTCCAGGGACCTCTACCTTTTTACCTAGTGCACACATAAACTGGTGCTGAAAAAGCCTTCACGGATTCTGGCCCTGTTCCAGCTGAAGTGCATTGCGACGGGCAATGCAAAGCTATATATGTCTATTCGTGAGTAAGCGCCGTTGCTTTCAGGGGCGCTTCTTCCCAAATAAAGGGGGTCTATAGCTGTGCCTTTGCAACTTACGTCCTGCTGGAAGCAAGGGGCTCCTATTGCATCAGGGCTGCGTTTCAACCCTTGGGGCGTCCATTTATAGGGGCAGGTCTAACATTGCGCGATCATCTGAGAATGCGAAGCCTCACATGCCACCAGCCCCGTGGCCAAGAACCACATCCCTGAGCTGCTTGCTTGGCTCCCGGCTGAAGGCACCGCGCGCGGGGCGGGAGGGGCCTGGGGAAACTTGCTTGCCCCGGGAGCGCCCCAGCCGAGCTCCGCGCAACCTCCGCCCCTTGCCGGGCGCTCGGGCCTCCTGCAGCGGCGGCGGGCCGGGCTGGGGTCGGCCAGGCCGGGACGCGCGGCGGCCGCCCTCCGGCTTCGCCCCTCCCGCGGGGCTGGAGCTCGCCCTGGGCTCGCCGGGCGGCGCGCTCGCTCCCTCGCTCCCTCGCTCGCTGGCTCGCAGTGCGCAGTGCCTCTGCAGCGGCGGCGGCGGCGGCGGCTCGTGGTCGCGCTCTTTCCGCGGGGCTCCCGCAGGGGGATGGTGTCGGTAGCCCGGCAGCCCTCGGCGGGCCGCGGGGCGGGTCCGTAGCTGGTGCGGGGTGGTGCCCTCTGCCGCGATCGGGAGCCGGAGGCGGCGGGCGCCGGGCGCCGCGCCAAGCGCCCGCGCGCCCCTCTTCCTCTCGCTCTCCATGGACGGGGGAGCGGGGGGCGGCCCGGGGGCGCCCGGCGCCGAGAGCCCCAACCGGGCCGTGGAGTACCTGCTGGAGCTCAACAACATCATCGAGAACCAGCAGAAGCTGCTGGAGACGCAGCGGCGCCGGATCGAGGAGCTGGAGGGCCAGCTGGAGCAGCTGAGCCAGGAGAACCGGGACCTGCGCGACGGCGAGAGGGACCGGGAGCGGCACCGCGACCGCGACGGGCCGTACCACCCCAAGGAGAGAGAGAGCCACTACCAGAACCGCGCCGACCGCGAGAGCCAGTACCAAAGCCGAGCGGAGCGGGAAGGGCAGAACCCCTATCCGAACCGGGACAAGGAGCGCGAGCTACAGCACTATGGAAACCGGGAGGGCGGGCAGTACCCGAACCGGGAGAGCCACTACCGGGAAGCCTGCCAGCTGCATCGAGAGCGGCCCCCGCAGTGCCACCCCGCGCGCGAGAAGGAGCACGAGTACCCCCGGGCCCCCCGGGAGAGGGGGCAGCTGAGCCGGGGGGCGTCGCGGAGCTCCAGCCCGGGAGCCGGAGGGGGCCACAGCACCAGCGCCAGCACCAGCCCGGCCACCACGCTGCAGAGAAAGTAAGGAGCTGCTCCGGCCCCCGGCAGCCCCGCCGGCCCCCAGGGCCACTCTCATGCGCAAGCAGGCGCTTGGGGAGGCCATAGGAATTGGTGGGTGCCGGCAAGCAGAGTCATGGAGGCGGCTCCCTTTCTGGCATTGCAGGGGGTCCTGGGGCGCAGCTTTGCTTTTTAGGATTGTGAAGTGTGGTGGTTTGGGGAGCATAGATGTGTCCTGGGACTGCCCTCTGCATTTCTCTGCTGCCTCTGATCTAGGCCTCTTGAGTCTTGTTGCAGTCACAGTTGTTTCCCAACACCGCCACAATCTGCACCCATCCCTTGCTAGCCTGGCAGTGTCCATCCTTAGAGTCAGGTCTCATTCATCCTCCTTCTTGAACCCTCATTCCCTATTGTGTGTGTGCACTGGACTCTGCCTGGGATCGCTCTCCCCTGCAAACCCCTGCTTGGCCTGTCTGGAATACCCATCAGTGCATTCCAGCCAGAACCATGAGTGTAGCCAAGGGCAGCTGGGGGTTCTGCTCCCCCAAACAGAAGCCTGCCCTGTAAGAAAAATCCTAGCTACGCCCATGACTAGAACCTGCTGACCCTATACTTGAGCTGGGTTTCTTCCCTTCCTGTTTTACACCACTCTCAATTTCTTTGCTCCTTGCCAGCTTTTCCTTATTCCAGAATTCACCTCTCTGTACAGAGCAATACTGCTCTGTGCTACTGCCAGTAGATATGCTGTGTTACTCTCACCTGCCACCCTGGGCCCTTTTCCTTCCACCATCCTTTAGGAGAATTGCTTTCCAGTTGCTCTGCACGGGGGGGTGGGGGGGTGTCTTATAACTGCAATGGACTGCTGAATGTGCTCTCCTGCCAGTCCTGCATCTTTCTCACTCTGTAATATACCAAATGGCTCTCCCCACCCCACTTTTGGGGGATTTAACTGTGCAGTGGATCCTAACTTAATTGCCTTGAAAAACTGGTTCTTTTGTATTAGTGCTCCTAGATGATTCCCTCCACATATTTCAGGACTCCCACCATTGCAAACACAAATCCAGGGCTAAAGTCCTACTTATATTTATTTGCGTAATCTGCCCCCCCCCCAGCAACCTTCTGAATCCTAAGGTGAATTTTCTCTGTCCTGTGTAAGGGAAAAGAGCTGCCTCTGAAAGGGACAGGATTTTTCTGTTAATCCCAATAGCCAGTCTCTAACAGAGGGTCCCCTTAGTGTTTCCTTCTAGCTATTTGGCTTGGCGTGATGTTAGGCAGGGCCTTTTGCTTCTGCTTAATAGGGATGTGTATGTGCTGTACATACACTAGGGATGGGGAACCTGTAACCCTTGAGATGCCCAGTTTCCCCATGCCAGAGTTCAGAATTGGTGGAAGTTGGAGTCTCGCCACATCTGGGGGGCACAGGTTTCTCCATCCCTGACACACACACACACATGTATAAAAGCCCCCTTCCCTCTGAGTAATCCCCAAGAACCAGCCCATTGGCATCGTTTTCACTAGTGGGTGCTTGACAGGAAAGAGCTACTGCTTAGGACAGGGACTGGATCCGCCCAGCCCCCAGAACTTGCTGAAATGTGGCTTAAGGGTTACATCCCAAAAAGTAGTGTTGCTGCCGAGTGAACCATTGCTATGATGAGCGACGAGGGTCTGGACTGATGCTTGAGGGATGTGCATGTGTGGGTGTGAAATGATTTCGCATGGGTTGTCCAGTATTGAGTTCAGGGACTGAGAAAAGAATATTGGGGGGATGAGGTACCTGCTGATATGTGGAGTGTGTAGGAACCGTGCCTTCTAAGTGCCTAGGGAAGAAAGAGTAGGATTAAATGACTTGGAGTGACAAATATAGGAACCAGGACTGCTGGGTTCCTGGTACATCAACTCTGGAAGAGAACAGGATTCGTGTCCCCCTGCCCCCTTGGCTCTCATCACCTTCTTGCTCCAAGAATAGGGAGCTGGTGGTTCTCTCTGTGTTACTGGAGTTCAACTCCCCTCCCCAGCCAGCATGGCCAATTGTCAGGAATGATGGGGGCTGCAGTCAAAAAAATCTATGGCGAGCCACAGATTGCCCATCCCTGTTCCAGATGCACTTGGTAAGAACCATGTTGAAATAATTGCACACCTGACACCTGGGCCTTAAAAGTTTCCATCTGCCCCTCAGTGGTAAAGCACATTCTTTGTGTGCAGTCAGAGGACCCCAGGTACAACCTTTGGCAGGTCCAGGTCAGGCTGGGAAAGACCCCTTGGCTGAAACCTCCAGGGGGCTGCAGCTAGTCGGGGTCTGAGCTGGATAGACCAATGACAGTTTCCTATGTTAGCTTACGAAAATGCATGTCGTAATATATTTGATACTCTGTATGGTGTTATAAGACTCTTTTTTGTCAACAGTTCTTACAATTGCCATGTAAGGTAGGTCAGAAGTATTTTGCATGTACTGAAGACTTGGGGGGAGGGGAGATTGAGAGAACTGACTTTCCTAAGGTGCCTGCAAAACAGGCAAGATTTGAAGCCGGCATTTCCCCACCCTTTTAACATTGGTGCAAGAGTTGTTCTGAAGCCTTCTGTTTGAAGAGGCACACCTGTTCATTTCAGCCCTCAGGCCCATGTCCTCTTTGCTAAGGCTCCCCCTCCTCTCTCCCCCTCCCCACATTGTTACTAGTGCATCTGATCTCCTCCAACAGCACGCCCTGCTTTGATGCTGATGCCTTCTGCTTGGGGGGATATGGGGGTGTTTGAACTAAATCACTGTACCTGGGAAGTTGATCTCCAGGACAGGATATGTTCTAGTTGCCCACGAGTTTTGGCTGAAGAGATTAGGATGCAGTTAGCCCTGAAAGCTTTGGGATCTGCTTTGGAAATGGCAGCAGGAGAGGCTGTGTGGGGTGGGAATTGACGAATCCAGCCGTGTGTTCTTTCTCTCTCCCTCCTCATCCCCGCCTTCTTCTCCTGGATAGAAATTAGCAAAGTGGTTTGATGCTGCAAATGACTTAAAACCAGCACAAATGTGTCTTGCCATTCCCGCCCACTCGCTACCGACACCAGGGAGGCGGTTTTTGAGAGCCTGGAGAGGTGGGTGGGTTCTCTGAGCCTCTTCTCCTTGCTGGTAGAAAAACCAGAAGTGGCTAGAGGCACCTGCTCTGGCCTACAGCCTTTACTCTGTTTTTTGCATTTGAGCTGGAAACTGAGCCCTCCCTTCACGCCCCTGCCTCTAAGGTCGCTAGTAGCTGGAGCTGGTGCAGCATAGTGGCTGAGTAGGATGTGTGATCTGTGTATCCAAAAGCCTTTAATTCAGTTCTCATCGCTGAGTGGTCTTAAACAAACTGTCACACCTCAGCCCTCCATCTGTAATACGGGGATGATATTAACACTGGCCTACCTTAACAAGGTTGTTGTACAGAGTAGTGAGAGATGGTGTGCAAATGCTTTGATCACTCAACAAAGCAGTATGGGAATATACTTCTTTCCCGGCACTTGGAAGAGAGCAGTGGTCTTCCAATGCCGCCCATTTGTCAGCCCCAGAAGATGGTGGTAGCCCAGCCAATTTTTTCACCTCTTCCACCTGAGGGAGATTGGAAGGGAATGTATTTTCCCATCAGTCCATCGCGGTTTGCTGCATGGGATGAAAACATGTGGTTGTTGAAAGCTTCTCTGGGATTGATTTTTCTCACTCCACTGCCAGCCATCAATTGGAAAAACGGTTGCGGTCCACTCTGGAGGCAATTGTAAGTCTGTGCTTGGGAAGCCAGGGAACTAACTGTTCTCGATATAAAGTCTGCCCTGCTTGTTTCTTAGCATAGGTGCATAAGCAGAGCTACAAAAGCCGTTTGTCTCATACTGTGAGACAGAAATGTCTAGGCATGTGAGTAAAAGCGAGAAGGGAGCAATAGCTAGCTTGCCCAATGGCCCCTCCCAATTGTGTGCATGGCTCATCAGATATTTCTGGGGAATGCTGAAGAGTATGTTTGCATTACGTAATTCTGGTGAGCTGCAGAACCACTAGCCCCAGAGTCAGTGCTGTGAGAGAGGCTGGGAGAGTTAGGAATGATTTAAGGCCAGATTTTCTGGGAGACTCTGGCCAGATCTCAGGCAAGGAGCCTACAGTTCTGGCTAGTTCTGCAGCTATGTTGATCTGCGTCAGTCTGTGGGATCTGCTCTGCACTCCCAACCACAGGTGCAACGGGCTTACAGCCAAAAGTGGATGTTGGTAGCAGGTTGATGCTCTTCCTTGCACATTTCCCTTGTTCCCTTTCTTCTGTCCCTCTAGGTGAGAAGACAGTGTTGTGATGCAGACAAGATCATTCATTGATATTAGGATTGCAACTAATGTAATCAAGGTGGCACCCTGACTCGCAGCATTCCTACAAATCAAGGTTAGGAACTGGTTGTCACATGATTGCCGTTCCTGCGAGGACCACCATGTGGCCAGCCAGACATATTTAAGTCTCAACAACAGGCTGGTGTGTAGGACCAGCTGCAGGTTGCTAAGAAAAGGGACAAGTTTCATATTGCACTAAATGTATTCCTGTTGCCAAGAGTGGCAGCCGTTCATCTAAGGCCCTCTCTCCTCTGTACTGCAGCTTTTTAAAATAATAATAATAATAATAATAATATTTATTAGATTTCCAATATTTACCCAATATTGCCAATTATACAGATTTGAATCAAAATAATTCAATTAATTCAAAATTTATACAATTTAATTGAAGTGGTTTCTTGCACTCCTTGATCAATGTTTTTGTCTAGTTCTTATATTGCTGCAGTTCATATTTTTCATTATCTTCTAATTACATTTCAGTTGGTATATTAATCATTAAGATAATGGCTGCATTTTTAACGATTACTATTCGTGTTATTATCTAACTTTTCATAGGATTTCAAATGAGGTGCTCTAATTATTTTCCTTTTCTCTGCGGGTGTCAGCCTCAATATGTCCAGTTATGAAGTCCTTGGCCTTTGCTGCCCTCCAACTGCTGTTGTCTCTCATCTTAACTGGGGTGCGGCTATAATCC